TAATTAACAATTTAACAGTATCTGTTAACTTATGTTAGTCTGGTTAACGTCGTCAATGTCGATGTAGTAAAACCAACGAATTTTGAAAGTTGGAGTATATAAAAGACAATTTCAAATAGTTGGTGTATTAATCGGATAGCCAAAAAAATTTATGTATTTTTTCAGCAAATAAAATTAAGTTTGAATATTTTTCAGGAATTTCGATTATTATTATTTTTCTACCTGCTACTAATCTCAAATCATTTTAGTAATGGCATTTATGGTTACAACTTTTAACTATCAACCGATGAATTATTATTTTAATTAGTAGGTGTAAAACAAGAGCTAATAGAGAATAATTCATATTCATATAATCCATCATCTTCTTCTAACATTTTCCATTTTCTATCAAGAAATGGACTCCGAAATCGCATTCGACTACTCTCCAAGGTTTCGTATCTACAAGAATGGCCGCATCGAACGTCTCTCAACCGAAACCATCGTCCCACCGTCTCTAAACCCACAAAACGGCGTCGTTTCCAAAGACGCCGTCTATTCACCGGAGAAAAACCTCTCTCTCCGGATTTACCTCCCTCAGAAATCCGTCGAGGAAGAGAAGAAGACGAAGCTACCACTCCTCGTCTACTTCCACGGTGGAGGTTTCATCATGGAATCAGCTTTCTCTCTTGCTTACAACGCTTTTCTCACATCGGCGGTTTCATCCGCCGGTTGCATCGCCGTCTCTGTAGATTACCGTCGTGCTCCAGAGCATCCGATTCCAATCGCGTACGAAGATTCATGGGAAGCGATCAAATGGGTATTCACTCATGTAAACGGATCTGGACCGGAAGATTGGGTAAACGAAAACGCCGATTTCGGAAGAGTATTCATCGCCGGAGATAGCGCCGGAGCAAACATCGCGCACCATATGGGAATCAGAGCCGGAACAGAGAAACTCAGAGTCTCGGGGATTGCTCTGCTTCATCCTTATTTCTGGTCGAAAGCTCCGATTGATGAGAAAGAGAAGACAGAAGTGTCGGCGAGGAGGTACTACGAGAGGCTTTGGGAAATCGCGAGTCCGAACAGCGAAAACGGTGTGGATGATCCGTGGATCAACGTGGTCGGGTCCGGGTCGGATATATCCGGATTGGGTTGTGGTCGGGTTTTGGTGATGGTGGCTGAAAAGGATTTATTTGTGAGGCAAGGATTAGGGTATGTGGTGAAGCTGGACAAGAGTGGATGGGTAGGGAGAGTTGAAGTAATGGAGACTAAAGATGAAAGTCATGTTTTTCATTTAAGGAATCCTGATAGTGATAATGCTCGTCAAGTTGTACAGAGATTTGCAGAGTTTCTTAAAGATGAGTGACGGCGAAGAATGAATTGTATTGTTGATGCAGCATCTTGAAGAATTTGGCGTGTTACATAAGTTATTGGTTTTTGAATTCTTGTGATTTCCGTTTTTAGGTTAGGCTCTTGGAGTCTACCCTAATTGGGTTTACCATTTGTTTAGGTCTGCACTTTATGAATTAATAAACCGAAAATTCTTCTCAAAGTTTCTTCATTCGATATCCTCTATGGAAGTTTTAAGCAAACAATCCGCAAGTTCTAATGCAATTTGAATAATCCAAAAATAACCAATTAACTGAATGCCCACCCCTATTTATATTTACTAATAGGTTTGAAAAAGAAAATATAATATTATTTTAGTTTGATGCTCAAACTAACAGGTTAATTTGGATTAATGTGACCAATTTGCTTTCTTTCTTTTATAATCTCCTTTAAACCGGAGAATTCTGTATTTTCTAGGGTTATTTATTTTAGTTTGATGCTTAAAGTTTCTTCTTACACAAGCAACATGAAATCCTGAAAATGGGGGGTTTTTATAACAAATTCGTTAAAATCTTTCTTTTTTTTTTTTTTGGGTATCCTACCACTAGTAGGTTTTCTCGTTAAATGATTTATATATAAGTTTTTTTCAATAAAAACTATATTTATGTTTTGTATAACAACAAATTTTAACGAAGAACTACTGATGTTGATCCGAATGAATCATCTTTTTCGCGGAGTGAAATATTTGCCTGCTAGACAAGATGATAGGATAGCAAATTACAAAATTCAAAAATATTTTAGCTTTAGTTCTAATATATCGAATCAAAGTTTTGTCAAAGACTATTTTTTTCTTTTTCTTTTTTAGCTATATAAAACTCATAACGCCTAATAAAATATGGCTTTATGACAAACTATAT